CGGGTTCTATTTTGCGCTAAGGCCTTCACCTCATTCCAAGACTTTCCTTGTTTTCTTATCTCGTCCATGATGGATCTTCTCCAAGTTTGTACTGGGCGACCTTTTTTTCGTTTTCCTTGGGGATTCCACTCTAGGGCAGTCTTTGCAATACTGGAGTTATTTTTTCGGAGTGTGTGACCGATCCAACCCCACTTTCTGGACTTTATTTCATTTACTACCCTCTTTTGTTTGGTCAGGTGTAGTAAATCTTCGTTTCTGATGATGTTAGGCCAGAAAATACGAACAATTCTCCGTAGACATTTATTAACAAAGACCTGCAGTTTGTCTGTAAGGGTTTTTGTCGCTTTCCAGGTTTCACATCCGTAAAGTAGTACAGACATGACATTTGACTGGAATATGCGGATCTTTGTCCTCGTAGTGTAGTCTCCAGACCTCCAAACAGGGTTGAGCATGCTGAAAGCTTGTTGCGCTTTTCGTATCCTCATACGAATATCGTCTTCTGTACCTCCGCTTTCTGTTATGACACTTCCAAGATACGTAAAGTTTTCCACATTTTCAATCTGCATGTTATTAATGGTGAATAGCGTGTTGTTTCTTGCATTTATTCTCATGGATTTGGTTTTACCAATATTGATTTTCAAACCTATTTTATTAGCTTCAGTCGAAAGTGTTTCCAATTGGTCAGCCACATCTTGGAACCTTTGTCCTAACAGGCAGATATCGTCGGCGTATTCTAGATCGCTTAGGCGTGTGGTTAACGTCCATTGTATCCCTCTTGTGTCAGAGTCTAGTTTGGAGAGAACATAGTCTAGAGCTATGTTAAAAAGAAACGGAGAAAGCACGCATCCCTGTCTGACTCCAGTAAGTACGTCAAATTCGTCACTGTTGATCCCATTGTGTGTCACGCTGCATTTCGCTTCAGTGTACAGTAACTTTATAATGGAAATTATTTTATGCGGGATGTTTCTTAACTCTAAAATTTTCCATATCGCATCATGAGATAAGCTGTCAAAAGCACGCTCGAATTCAACAAAAACCATGTATAGGGGTGTGTTCCATTCAACCGATTGTTCCATTATTAGCCTCACAGTATTAATGTGGTCTATGCAGGAGGATTCTGGTCTAAAGCCTACTTGATTAGCTCGAAATTCAACCTTGTTTGTTAATCTTTTAAGTATGATGGTCGTGAAGATTTTATTTATGGCGGTAAGCAAGGTTATTCCTCTCCAATTTTTGCAAAGTGTGAGGTTGCCCTTTTTTGGAAGCTTAATAATGATGCCTTTTTTCCAGCCCGCTGGAATGCGGTTTGTTTCCCACACCTCTCGGATTATGGGGAGCAAAAGTTCAGCAGTTAGATGCGGATCAGTTTTAAGTATTTCGGCAGCAATGTTATCGATTCCCGGAGACTTGTTATTTTTCAGAGATTTGATAGCTGTTATTATCTCTGTTTTGGAAGGGGCGTCGCAAGATATACGCAGGTCTATATTCTGTGGATTTTCGACAATTTCATCTGCGTTATCCCTGGGCGTGCCTAGCATCTCCTGAAAATGCTCTTTCCATCTCTCCATTTGGTCATTTGTTGTAGTAAGTAATTCTCCTGTCTTGGATCTTACGACGTTTGAACAGTTGGGCCCACTTTTGTTAACGTCTAGTAATTTGGTATAGCTCTGTAGTTCTATTGTTGTGCAGCTATTTCGGTTGTTTTGCCGTCTCAGCCATCTTCTTTTGTCTCTTCTTGCATTTCTTTTAACTGCTTTATTTATTGTTTCATATTCTTGTTGTCGGTTCGCTCTTTCTTCTACAGTTCTTGCTTGCAAAATATCTTTTTTTTGCTGTTTTCTTTCTTCGATAAGATTCCAAATTTCATCTGATATCCATTCTTTTCTATGTTTCCCTTTTTTACCCAGTTTATCTTCAGCTATTTCTGTCAAAACATTTGCCAGATCTTCCCAGCTATTTACTTCACGTTCTCTTTCTTTTGAGTTGAAGTTCCTCCCTAAACATGTGTCTTCCTGTAGCCGTTTTTAATTTGTCTAGATTGTATGTTGGTCGTTTGGTATTTCGTGTGATTTTGTTTTTTGCCATTTTGATTTTAATGGTACCGATTACAAGATGATGGTCACTTGCGATGTCTGCTCCTCTTTTGTACGTACATCAAGAAGAGATGATCTCCATCTTTTTGATATGGCGATGTGGTCTATTTGATTTTCTCTTATATGACCTGGTGCAGTCCATGTAACCTTGTGAATATTTTTATGTGGGAAGATGGTTCCACCAATAACTAAGCTATGATTGGAGCAAAAATTTGTAAAGCGCTCTCCGTTTTCATTCATCACTCCCAGGCCATGTTTGCCCATTACGGTTTCTAAGTTAATATTGTCTTCTCCAACTTTAGCGTTCATATCGCCCATCACTATTAGTATATCGCCTTGGTTTACTTGTTGGGTCATTTGTTCTAGTTGTTCGTAGAATATGTCTTTATCTTCGTGGAGAGATGTATTCGTGGGAGCATAGCACTGAATCACTGTTATCTTGCGGTATCTGGTATAAAATCTGGCAATCATAATTCTATCATTGATGGGTTTCCATGAAATGAGGCTTTTTTGGCTTGTTTGGTGAGTAGAAGACCCACTCCGCTCTCGTGATTTCCATTTTCTTTACCACTGTATTATAGGAGTTCTCCTGTTTGGGTATGGTGTTCACCATTTCCCAACCATCTTACTTCCGATAGACCAACAAAGCTTAATTTATACCTGTTTAATTCTTTTACTGCTTGAGCTAGTTTAGAAATCTCATACAGAGTTTTAAGATTCCAGCAACCAAATCGTGTCCGTGTTTTCGGTGATTCCAAGGTCGTCAACATTTGATCCGTCCGGTTTGTTTCTACCAAGGTTTCAGTAATATGATAAAATTTAAGATGAGTAGGTTATTGGCCTTCCGCACCCGAGTCTGGTGCCGGGACTGCTGACTGTAGCGTCCAGACAAGCCTCAGGGGGTAGTGGTCCTGGAAGTGGCAACGACATTTCCTTCGTGCGAGATGTTAAGGTTATACCGCCTATACTCGGTCAGAGAAGAATATGAAGTAAAAAGAAATATAGTGACCCGTCTGCTTTCGGAAACCTAATCACCATTCGGGGTCGGAAGAAACAAGAGTTAGCCAAGAGAGGCTGATAGAAAAGATTAAAGACATTTCACTCAAGACAAGTTAAGAAGAGTAAAATGTGAAGGCCCTTATGATCCGCCAGGTGCGTTTCATAAGAGTATGAGTATTGATGCACTTTGTGTTCCCGCTCATACTTCGGGGTGTTGACTACAGACTGTATGGCTCGTCCAGCATGCCATAGCATGAAGGATATGGTACACGTCATTTTACATTGCAGGCACCCTAAACTCCATGGCCTGACCCGTCCTATCTCTCCTACACTATTCAAATATAGCAGCGCACTTAGAACTGGAAAAAGAAAATACACGTAATGGTTATAGAGATAGATGACAGATACCTGTTTACTCTTCAGTTTGTAGATGATCAGGACATAGTGGCCAATGACAAAGACGACATGCAATATATGATTAGAAAGCTAATAGAAGAGTATGAGGAATGGGGCTTGACAGTTAACGTAAATAAAACGAAATATCTATGTGTATGCTCTCAGAGCGAAAATTTGGAGTTGGACAACGGCCAAGAAATTCTGCAATGTCAAGAATATGAATATTTAGGTATCACATTCGACAATACCGGAACAGATGTGAAAGAGACAGAAAAATGAATAGTTACAGCTAAAAAAGATAATAGGATGTCTGAATGGCATCTTGTGGAGCAAGGAGATAACAAAAAGGAGAAAATTTAATATATACGAGACAATGGTTAAGAGCAGGCTATTGTATGGAGCGGAAACATGGAGAATTCCAGACAGACAAAAAAAGAAGGTAGAGGCAGTCGAAATGGACGCGATAAGAAGATCTATGCGAGTCTCACGAAGAGAAAGAATGAGGAATGACCATATAAAACAACGAATGGGAATAGAAGGTACGATAATTCAGGATATCGAAAAGAAACAACTTACCTGGTACAGACACGTAGAGCGAATGCAAAATACTAGATGGCCCAAAAAAATACTGAACTGGACCTCAATAGGGAATAGAAAGCGAGGAAGACCCAAACTAGAGTGGCAGCACAACATAAAAAAGTCAATGAGCGAACGGAATCTATCAACGGAAGATTGCCACGATAGAAGAGGATGGAAGTTAGGTGTCGGACAACGGAGAAGGACGTTCTAAACCGGCGTATTTATATATCCTAGATATATATATATGTTTATATATATATTATATTATATACAAAAGTTACAAAAAGTAGTAGATAATAGACCACTTAAGCCCACTTTGACCTTTGTCGTCCGTGGTTTAAACTGTACCTGCGCATGTGTATTATTTCCCGAAATGTGATTATGGATGAGTCATGCATTAAATTTTTCGGGTAAATGCATTCGACGTTATTAATCATTAAAAAAAAGTAATACGGATACGGCCGTTTTTCACATGTAAAATCTCATAAGAAAACGCTAAGGTTCATTCTGCTCCATTGCATCCATTCTTGCTAATTTGCTCTTTGATGCAAGCACAACAGCCTGTCGGATGTATTTTGCATCTTTTGGTCTAGTCCCGAAGTGGATTTTCTCCTAATTACCAAACTATTAAAACACTCAGCCTCTGATCACTTTTAAATTTATTTCCACGTCTACAAGTTAACTAAAAATAATGTTATTTTGTTCTCTTTTAATTTTATATTAAACGAGTTTTATAATTTGTTTTAGGTTCCTCAAATAGATCACTTAAAAGTAGTTATCCAATGTACTGTATTTTGTGGCCTATGGCCAATGGTTTATAATCGCAATGGCAAACAGACGGTAAACATATGGTATTATATTTATTCATGGTTATCATTCATCATATGTTCATTGTACGTGCTATCCTCTTGGACAGCTATCTACGACAATATTATGTATGAATTTGATGTGCAAACTTGTACTCAGTCTATTATGTGCTGCTGTCGTCAATCTCTTTGCATCATAAGGATCGTTTATTTGTGGAGAAAAAACACTGTTAATCTTTTACGTCAAATAAGGGAAAGGGAAGAACAGATATACAACTCTCAAGATAAAGAAATAATAGATCTAATGAATACTAATATCAAAAACAATCATAAGTTGGATTGGAATTACATAATTATTCAAATGGGAGGTAAGACAATAAATTATATATATATATATATATATACATTATATCTAATATAGACAATATAAACTTAGAACAACCTATCTTAAATTTAAAATTCTTACAATATTTAAATTATATTGACAAAATTTGGTACCATTCTATCACTGAATGCCTAAATGAAACTGTTTTCCAAAATAAAAGGTTTAATCACCATGTCAATTTTTTCTGATCAGCCTGGGTTATCCTTGTTTTTGTGAAATTGCTTATTCCAAATATACCACAATGTTTTAATTATCAGCTTCCACCAATTTAAATTATTTTTCCTCTTAATAGCATTTATTAATGGGCAAAATATTTGACTTTATTTATTATTTCTTCTTTGCTTCTTTCTTATAATCTTATTTTTTCTTCTTAATAATTTTCAATCACCATATAGATATTATTATTTTAATATACTTTCAAATATACTTTTAAATACTATAAAACTTTAAATCACTGATTACTGCATACTGTATTGTATAATTAATAATCTAAAACTGACCACTGTATACTATCTGCTTGTACTATGAATGAACGCATTCGTAAAAAAGCATAGTGTCTTGCATAATTTTCAACATGGTTTTACATCTTCTAAGTCTACAACTACAGCTCTTGCAAATTTCGTCAGCTTAGTGTTGGATGCTTTGGACAGACGAGAGAAGGCATGTGGTTTATTTATCGATTTATCCAAGGCTTTTGACACTTTGGATCATAATTTGTTGCTAATAAAACTTGAGGGGATTGGTATTCGTGGTGTAGTTCTAAAATGGTTTACTTCGTACTTAGAGAATAGAAGACAAAAAGTAAAGATAACATCTAATGAAGTTGTAAACAAATCAAACATATTGGATATCCATTATGGTATCCCTCAGGGTAGTGTATTGGGTCCTTTACTTTTTTATAATATATTAGTGATATAGCTTTGATAACTAATTCACTGATTGGGGTTAACATCGTCAGTTATGCGGATGATACCAACATTCTAGTCACAGGAACGTCTGATCAAAATTTGCAAAATAAAACTACACAGATACTATCCACCATTAACAGTTATTTCTTATCCAACAAATTAGTTTTGAATGAAGAGAAATCAAAGTATATGATTTTCACGTCAAATAATTTAATAAACCATTAAACCACTATAGAAGCAGCAATAGATAAAACAGACTGCACGAAGTTGCTGGGGGTACTTCTAGACAGTAATTGTAAGTGGTCAAACCACATTTCTAATTTGAAATCCAGATTAAGTAGCGCATCTTATGCATTGAGAATTCTCTCACGTCTCTTTCATACATATTAAAAACAGTATACTTTGCCCATTTTTACTAAATAGCCAAATATGGCATTGAAGTCTGGGGTTGTACCTCTGAATTAGAGCAGATATTCGTACTTCAGAAAAGAGCTATTAGGATAATGTATAAAATGAAATTTAGAGATTCTTGTAGAGGCATCTTTAGACAAAACAATATTCCTACAATTCCTGGTCTGTATATATTTTCGTGTATAATGTATTTACATAGCAAAATTTATGAATTTAATAAATTTCAATTTAACCATGTTTATTCAACAAGATTCAGAGACAATCACTTTATGCTTCCACAACATCGTTCTGTTTTGTTGGAAGGTATGCAGTTGGAAGGTATGTTGGCATTATGCAACCATAAGTTTCTTTAACAAATTACCAATAGATATACGAAGGAATTTACATCAGCCAAACTTTCGGAGGTGTGTACATCAATACATTTGTGAGCTAGAGCCATATTAAGAATAACTTTTAAGTATGTTTTATTGTGTTTATTAATTTATATACTTTTAAGATGTATATTTGTAACTTTGACTTGTCTCATACATGTACCTTGTATAATGTCGCATGTGATCAATAAATTTGACTTTACTTGACTTGACTTGCAAAGCTTTTTAATATTATGATTTATCAGCATCTTCGTTTTACAATAAGCCAATTGATTGCAGCACATTTAGTTTCTCCCAAACGGTTTTTATATAAAAAAACATATCCATTATCAATAAACATAATAAAAATACAATATTTTCAAATTTTGCTTTTTAGTAAGTTTATAGAAACGCAATAAAAAATATTAATGTCTTTTTATTGTTACAGTTGTATTTTTCTACATGACCTTAGCACCGTTTATTTTTCCAAAACAGATTGTAATTCTGCCAGACACAAACACAACTGTTGATCAGAAATCTTTACCAGTAAAATATTGGTTTCCTTTTGATACCGAAAAACACTTCAATATAGCATTGGGATGGGAGATATTTAGTCTTATGTTAAGTGGGACATATGTCTTTTGCAATGGACCTTTTCTTTTTCAGTACTCTGGCTTATATTCTGGGACAGCTGAAAATTCTGAGATTCATGCTTGACAACTTTGAGAAATACAGAGCAAGGGCAGAGGCTCAAATAAAGTGTACAAGTAGCACTGCAGATATTATTACGTTAAAGCTTTTTATTGCTGAACACCAACGAGTTATGCGGTAAGGTTTATGCACACGAATAGAAACTTTTTAATATAAATAATAAAATCAAAATACTGTAGTATTTTTAAATAAAACGAGCGGTTCTAATTTATATAAATATATTTATTTATAAGTTTACACCACGATTATATCTTATTAACTAAACTTAGCTAATATCAGCGCTTCTTATATATACAACTTATTATGTACTAGAATATTCTGGAATACTCCATCTCTATTCGCTTGCATGAGCATCTCGATCTCCATCCGGGTCGATACATCTGGAAGGTTCCCGAACACAGATCATCGTCGGCTCGAGATGCAACCTTTATACAGGCTAGATCGATATAAGCACGTTCGGTACATGCTCCCCTCTTAGATCTGAGCGTCCCGATTAGCAACTCTATATGTAGGGCCAGGACGGCGGATACTACAGGACTCTCTAGCTCTGCATTAACAACTCAGAAAGAAATAACAATCTACTGTCTTTGAAGGGCACGATCTCTTTGGATTAATGCAACACACTGTAATTTGTTCGCCGGTTTCTCGGAAGATCAGTTTCAAGCATGCCTCTGAAAATCTTCAATCCATATTTTCTCGTGCATGGCCTATCTTGGGCAAGGCCAAATTCTTGATGTCATAATTGCGCAAGATTTTCTTCAAATTAGTTACAGCACGCCATATATCCTCGTAGCTTGCCCTGTCTGTATACGACTTCTTGGTCACCCTGTACAGTAAAAATCGAGGACCATCTTTCAATCTCAGTACCTACTCTTTTAACTTTGGCTGCCGATTTTTAGCACTTCTTAGAAAATACGGATGAGTCATCTCAAGATCTTGGGCAACACAGTGGGCTAGAGAGACGTTATGGGAACACCTTGGGAATACTAAAAAGATCCTGCTGAATTTTTGTGGTCACGCCAAATCTATCACTGTTACTCTCTGACAGTAGGATTATGATTGACGGGTCGAGTGGACGGTATTTTATTTATGAGAGGTCTCCAAGTCGAAGGTAACCATGTGGCGGTATCTCTTTTATTGAAACAATTTGGTATTTTTTTAATTTCTATGGTTCCTCGGCTAATTTTTGGTTTAAAGAAGCAAATAGGGGCTATGATTCTGGAGTCTTCAAAATTAATTTTCTGACCTGTATGAAGATGGTGTTGATCTAGAGCTGAAATTGTCGGAATTCCGAACCGAAATGGAATGTTCATATATAATACTTTGGTCTATATGGTATCGAAGGCCTTTTGCACAAGGAATTTCATAAACTCCGTGTTATTTATTTGGAATGTTGTCTTTGATTGATCAGACAAGAGTTGAAAATTTTGTTGGGAAGGTAAATATTGTATTTATTCCTATTAATTTTAGATCAAGTTCTAGCAAGATAAGTATTACTGATAGGTATTTTGTAATTATTCTTTGTAGATATGGATTTTTTATTCTAAGATACAGTAGTCTCTCTTTATAACGATTCCCTATATAGCGATAATTCCTCTATAACGATGAAAATAGTAAACGTTGGTTGGTTAACGGTATAACGTCATAAGGACAATGTATTAATTCTTTCTCTATACCGATATCGTTCTCTCTTTATAGCGATCACTTTTCAGCGTTCAATAGTCGATGGCAAATGTGTTATTGTATTTAAAGTCAGACTATCTAAGTCACAAGCGACAAGGCCACTGTTCAGCGGTTGTTTTGTATCGCGCCCAAGGAATGCGTCATCCCGAATACTTATTGTTATCCAAGGGATAAGTGATACGATTTTACGGAATGTTGTCATCTATTGACGACTTCTCACTTCCAGTTTCAGTTGTGTCTCAGTGTGTGAACAGTCTTCATGTTTTCGACAAAGCGTAAAGTGCTCTCGGTGAAAGATATCGATAATTCCGGCAATAGAAAAACGTAAAAACCAATCGGATGTCGTTCGCCATATGAGGCTGTCCCAGTCAAGTGTGGAAGAACAGAAATAAGTGAGGGTTGGACAAGCAAGTCGAAGCTGCAGCACAAGATGAACTACGGGCAGATCAGCGGAGAAGCTAGGATGTTGCCTGGACTGAAGGCACAATATGCATCGGATGACATTTTTAATGCTGATGGGACTGAATTGTTTTTTAAATGAGACAAAACAGAATTTAAAAATTTAGATCGGAATAGTGCATTGGTGGAAAGCTGTCTATGGAACGCATTATGGTTTTAGTAGCCGCTAACATAACATGTTCATCGAAGAGAAAATTGTTAGTGATAGGGAAGTCGTAAAACCTATGTGGCTTTAAAAACATCAAAAATCTACTTACTACCTACAAAGTAAACAAGAGTGCGTAGATGACTTCGGAAATTTTTGAAGAAGCAATAAGAAAATGGGATGTCGAGCTTAAAGGGAAAAAATTCTTCTGCTTGTAGACAATTGAACAAAACGTTGAATTTTGAATCCTGTCAACAAACACAACGAGTGTCCTTCAGCACATGGACCAAATTGTCATCAATAGTTTAAAAAACCATTACAGGAGAAGACTTTTTGATGGAATTGGTTGAGAACAATGGCGATCTAAAACTTAATATTCTTAACGCCATTCTAATGATTAGTAAATCCTGAGACGAGGTGACGAATAATACGATAAAACATTCCTTCAAACACGCAGGATGGCTGAACGGTCAAGGATTGACTGAGGATGAAGATGACCTGCCATAATCTGTTTGGGCCAGACAGTTTGTAGTTTCTATCATCTACGGACCGAAAGAGCTAACAGATTTCGAAGAAGTTAACAAAAATATAGTTATAATATTTGGACTTTCTGACGAGCACATCCTATAAGCAGTTCGTGTAGAAGAAGAAGAAAAAAGTGACCCAGAATTGGAAGCAGAGCCAGAATTAGCTCCAACCCCTGGGCAGGAATTGGATGCGGTAAAAGTACTTAATCGGTTTTGCACGTAGAATAATGTGCAGTGTTAATTCATTTATAACCATTTTAATCAATTTTTAAATTGTAATAGGTTAGTTAATACAGTATTATTAATGTTACATTAATGATTTTTGTCTCTCTCCCTCTGTATAACGATCTCTCCTTATAACGATGACAATTCTCGGTCCCTTGCATATCGTTATAGAGAGAGAGAACTGTATTATGAATTTTTAGTTTTTAAATTAGGAAAAAGTTTTTCGATAAGAAGTTAATGTAATATTAACAATGGTTATAATCAAATTATCAAATATTTGATTGAAAGTATCAAGACTGTTTTTAAAAACTTGTTAAAAGTGATCATAAAAATTAAGGGAAAAACATACGTAAGGATGATCACAGCTAATGTCTAATATACAATTTTCTCTCTTTTTTTTTCTTAGGTTAGATCTATCTCGTTAAATAACTGGCGTTGGCCAAGAAACTCAGATGTTTCTAGAATATGTTGATTCTGGTAGCAGAAATAAATTAATCACAAGCACTTGAATTTAAGAAAAAAAATGTTGTAGTTTCTATTAAATTACAAAATTACAACATAATTTACTACAAATAAAAATAAAATAATAACAATCATATTTAGATTCCTCCTTCCTATTGTATCTTCTTCTTCTTCTTCTTCTTCAGCCTGTGTTCGTCCACTGCTGGACATAGGCCTCTTTCATTTGCTTCCATCGATTTCTACTTTTGGCAATTCTCATCCACTGCTTGCCCGCGACTTGTTTGATACCGTCTGTCCACCTCTTCTGCGGTCTGCCTACTCCTCGCCTGTTCTCTCTTAGTCTTCAGTTTGTTAATATTTGTGTCCATTTTTCGGGATTATCTCTTTTCCACTTGAGCCTTGCAAGACGTTCTGAGACATCAGTAATTTTTGTTCTTTCACGAATAATAATAATAATAATAATAATAATAAATAAAAATTTCTCAAATGATATTAGTATGCACTTCGGTCTTGACAAGTGCCGTGTCTTAAATATAATCAAAGGAAAGGTTCAGCCCGGCGGATTCGATATGCAAAACGGCCAGAACATCGAGGCCATGGGTGAAAATGATATGTATAAATACCTCGGAATAAAGCAAGCGCGGAAGATTGACCATAAGCAAATGAAAACTGAGATAACAACTGAGTTTATACGAAGGGTAAAACAGCTGCTTCGTTCACACCTTAACAGTAAAAATTTGTTTAAGGCACTAAACACCTACGCATGTTCCGCGCTTAGCTACTCATTTGGTATTGTTAAGTGGACAAAAACGGATATAGAAAATCTTCAGCGAAAAGTACAAACGCACCTCACAAAGGCACAAAAACACCATCCTCGAAGTGCAGTGGAAAGAACAACATTACCGCGGTATTTAGGAGGTCGAGGACTTATGGATATAAGCGAGCAATTAGAAAAACAGATTACTAATTTAAGAACTTATTTTCAGGTGCAGGCGGAGACATCTACTCTTCATCGCGCGATTTGTGCAGTAGATGACACAACACCGATCAAACTGAGGGAACCAGAAATGCGCATAAACCACCTTACTAAGAACGAAAAAATGCGCACCTGGATGTGCAAGCCTCTGCACGGACGACATCCCAATGAGGTCAGCCAAGACTATGTCGACAGTATAGCGTCGAACTATTGGCTGACATCAGGAAGGATGTTCCCCGAAACAGAAGGTTCACTACTGGCCATTCAGGATCAGGTTATACCAACCAAAAATTACCTGAAATATATCGTCAAAGACCCTCAGGTCCAAAATGACAAATGCCGATATGGGTGCCAAGCTCAGGAAACCATTCAACATCTTACCGGGGGCTGTCAGGCATTTGCTGCAACTGAATATAAGGAACGGAACGACTCAGTAGGAAAAATTCTTCATCAAGAGATAGCTATCAAACTGGGACTTCTTCAAACAAACCATCTTCCATATTATCAATATGTTCCTGAGAGTATACTTGAGAATGACAACTACAAGCTATACTGGGATCGCACGGTGCTCACAGACCAAACAGTGGCACATAATCGACCAGATCTTATACTAGTCAATAAACTAAAGAGACAAACAACA